GCGGCTTGAAGCGTTTGATTGGTTAGAACTTTGTGGGTGTGTTTGTTCAAGAGCAGCAACACTGCACTGCAGAGCTGGACCAGAGCAGCTCTTTCTTCTGCATGTTATTTTGTTTAAAAAGGTTTTTTTGTCTGAAGCAGCAAGAAGAGCAGCTGGCTTGATCCTATTGAAAATGAGCATGCAACTGATGTTTGTCTTTTTTTCCATCACCCCCATTAATAAAGAAAATTTAATTAAATTAAAAAAAATTTAAAAAATAAAAGTTTTTCTTCCATAGATTCTTCACCCAAGACAACACTGATCCTTGCGTGAAAAAAACAACACAATATCCAGCCATCATTATTGTTGTTTATGTACTTATATAAGGTTATAACGAGGTTGGACACATTGTGACTCGTGTAATTCACAGTTCCTCTGACTGTGCCTCTTTGTGCTGACTCAGCTCCACTGTTGTGTCGTTATGGGTAGTCTTTTTTTCTTCTGGGCAAGAAGATTCTTATGAACAGACATGCCGCCTTCAGTTATATTAGAGAACTGTAATGAACAACACATCACTGGGTCCCATTCTTGTGACGCTCACTGAAGTTCAGTGGCCATTCTCACCATGGTTGCCAAGTGTTAGTCCATCCTCCTCATCTTTATCAACACTTGTGTCCTCTTCTTCCCCTTCTCCCTCATCCTCGCTTGGTGGATTTGCCATCTCTGCTATCTCTGCCAGGTCTTCATCAGCCAGCGGATACACACGGGGGCATCCATCAGGGCAAAGCTGTCTCATCCAAGCTGTTTAGCTGGATTCACGGATGTATCTACCACCGAGTGATAGATCTCATCAAGGGAGCCCCYGGTCAGGTGTGCCTCTGGCCACAGTTTTTTCCAGCAGGCATTCAAAGTTTCAGTTTTCATCTCCTGAATGGCCCTCTGAATATTTTGGAGACATGATGCAATGGTGTAACCACGTGTAACCTAGTTCTTTAGTGAGAAAACTTGATCAGAGTCCACAGCCTCAACAAGATGTTGCAGGGTGTTCCGTATATTGAGCGCCTTGAAAACGCAGATAATGCCTTGGTCCAAGGGCTGAATCAGCGATGTAGTGTTCGGCTGCAGAAATTTGATTTGCTCACCATCATACTACAAATAACGCAGATGTTATCTCCAGCGTTSTCAAAAAGCAGAAGCATTTTAAAGTCTAGTCCTTTTCCTCTCAAACAATGGTTGGTCTCCAGGGATGAAACAATGAACCAAAGCAGATTAAGCACTTTTGTCTTCCAAGCCTTTGCGTTGTGCATCCAGTAAATAAGCAATGTATCCGCATTTTTGTTTTTCAGGGATCTAGGCTTTTTAGACCAATATATAAGTCCTGGTTTTATCATCATCCTCATCTTCACGGTCATGAATGTCATTACTGTTAGCAAAGGTTGCATAAAGGTTTTTTTTGCTATTGTGCGGATAACGTTGGTATCCAGAGAAATGTTCTTTTTCCTGCAGTCATTAATCCACAAAGCTAAAGCAGACTCCATCCTTATGATGGTCATGTTGCGGACACTAACAACCCTTTTTCCATCCTTGTTAAAACTTTTTTCTGTTGTCTTCCTTGTTATTTTCCTCCCTCTTTATGGAACGAACCAAAGATTAATTTATTCCATAATGGCACTCCACAGTCACATAGCTTCTCCCTTCTTTTAAAGGGATCCTGGATTAGTTGTAACATTAGACTTTATTTGATAAACATATATTTTAACTGTAAACTAAAGAATGTAAAAATACTGTAGGCTGTTTAGTTTTGTGCATTTTTAAAAATATATTTTAATATGGACGGAGCCATTTTATTTAAACGCAAAGCATTCTGGGTAAATTATGATGGGGATAGGTCCTCAGTGTGAGCGAGCTATATCCACCCTGAAGGTTAATCTTGGACAATATCTGATGATCGACTCTTTTAAATGAAACCAGAGAGCGTTGACAGAGAGGAGAAGGTAGAAATGACTCAGGCAGTAACTGAAAATATGGATGGAGGACAACAATTTAGCTTGTTTGCTGCACTAATACCGAGCTACATATAAGGCAATGAGGCATTTTGATGTTATCACCCCCTGCCTCTCGGATCAGGCATTACACTAATCATCTACACCTGCAATGAGTTGGCTCATCACCTTCCCTGGGCTTTATAAGGAAGTGCTGGAGTGCATCTCGTCGCTGAGGCTGGATTGTTTGAGGGTGCCGTGGGTGTGGGCGGAAGGCGGAAGG